ATCACCCGCTCTTTCGGAATCTTAACGGCCAAGTTGTTTGTGAAGCTATTTTCGGCATTCGTCCGACCCCACCTGGAATATTGTATTCAGGCTTGTCCACCATGTCTTAACCGAGACAAAATGGACTTGGAGAGGGTGTTACGAGTGGGCACTCGGTTAGTGCAGGGCCTACGGGGACAGACGTATCCTGAACGCTTGCTCAGTTTGGGTATGTACTCCATGCACTACCGAAGGATAAGAGGGGACCTGATTCTCACTTATCGTATTTTGACGGGTAAGATTGGCCCGGACTTGTCAGGGCTTTTTAGTCCCGCTACGTTACCTAGTCTCCGCGGTCACCCACTGAAACTGCATAAACCACGGTCTGATAGGATTAGGACGGAAACTCGTCTATCGCGCCGAGTTATAGATCGCTGGAATTCTCTTCCAGATCACGTGGTTAGGGAACCTACGGTTAAGGGTTTTGCACGCCAGCTTGATGCTCTTGGGTGGCAACAGCAAACCTTTCCTTTTTCCTAGCTGACTCACCTTCATTTTTCAGTTCTTTTTTTATTGACTCAAATATCTTGGTATTCCACTTGCTTAGCTCTTACCACTTTCTCTTTTGCCTCCTGCGTTTACTTTTCTCTCTTTCTTACCTCACGTAACCGACCCAGCAGGGACTGCTAGGGCAGGATACGTGGGCATTAATTGGTTGGACAGGGTGTGGTGCGGTCTTTGTTTTAGGTCCATCAGTATTTCAAAGTTCGCCAACTCCTGGTTCAACGACCCGCCGAAGAAGGAACACTCACGGGATCTATCCTATCGTTCCAGTCCCGCTTGAACTTGAACTTGAACTTGAACATGCTACTGCCAGTCACGTAGGCAATAATCGGTAGAGGAGCGTGTTACACGTGAGAGTTGATTAGGTTCTCTACGGTTACCAAACTTGTCGTCGATATGTATCCTGGAGCAATGACGCATGCACGAAGTACCATACACAGGAATTTGCTGCTGTTCCACTTAGTTGTGATTGAACCTGAAGCTCGCCGTGACCTTGACTGCTATCAGAAAATAAATATGTGCCTTTGGAAAAATGCAATACTGTGGCTAGAAATTTTGTTATTTTAGCATAGAATCATATTTAAGCATTAGGGAGTGAGCTTTTGAAAACCATCCTTGTTTGTTCATTCCAGCGACGTAACCTAGAGGTGATGCGGTCGCTTTGGTTGGATAAACGGTGTGGGTTTTTTCGTCGCGTTACTCCTGAGAGCCTGCCGCAAATCTGCGTTTCACTTCACACGCCATGGAGTGGCATGGAACTTTTCCATTGAATGTGATCGATTCTAAAAAAGAAGCATACGATTCAGCTGAGCTTTCGCTTAAACAGGAGTCTTATGCTGTTTCCACAACATCTGATACGTAAGTCGTAGAACGTTTCTAGTCAACTTCTGTAGGAATCAAATTAAAATTTCATGGGCCATTTACTCCCACCGTGTTGTTGGGTGGGATCATTTGAATCTTTTAGTGTTTACTAATTTGTTTTCTTGTCCCAACAATTCTTCAATGTGTGCATCCCGTTTTTCCCGACACGTCACCGTCCACATTCATGTGGTGTAACGTTTTTAGATTTTAGCACCCACATTTGTTTAGGTATTGCAGCTTTAACTTAATCCGCCCATATTTTTGCTTTTATGATTACTTGCGCCTTGCTTGATCCACTCCATTGCGCTCCTATGTTCCAAGCTCTCCTTGCCTTTTTGGTAAACTGCATTTTCACCTTTTGCCTGACTTCTACCTAACCCATATGGCTGTCTACGCAATGACACCTAACACACTTGTATTGCTTTTCTAGCAACGGGAGCCTACATGATGTGTCGGTTGACGGACCGCTTGGATCAGCGCCCAAAGAAAACGAAAGGTTTAATGGCTTGTCTGAAGACGATTTAAAAGACAAAGTACTGCCCGATCACCTCAAGGAAGGTCTGGACATCGTCATCGTAACTCATTCCTTTGTTTATTCATGCTTTGTTTAGGTAGGTATCAATCCAAGCTTGGCTTCTGCGCACGTTGGTCATCACTACGCTGGACCTGGAAATCACTTTTGGACATGTTTATCACAGGCCGGACTAGTTCCAATGCCTGTCACTTGTTATGATGACGAGAGAATGCTAGACTACGGCATTGGATTTACCAATGTATGCACTAGACCCACCAAGGGCGCTGCGGAGTTAACTAGAAAAGAGATGAAGGCTGGTGCAGCCATAATGTTAGAAAAAATGCGAAGGTTCAAGCCGAAAATAGCGGTATTTAATGGAAAAGGTTCGCGTTGGTTTCCTCTGTCCACACGTTTTCTGTTTCTTTTTTCCCCAATGTATAATCTGTCTATAATCTACTAGTCTATTTCTGACTCATTAGAAATGCAGTGTCGTGAACGCTTACCGTTTTTCTCTAACTCGGTTTATTCTCGATTGTTTTCCCTAACCCGACTAGTCGTTCCCTGCTGCTGTTTTCGACCTGTTTATGTATGGCGTAAACCTAAGATGTACTGTTATATCACCCAATTGATTGATCAAGAATTGGACATGCGAAGTAGTTCGTAGCTTGGTTATGTTGTTGGTTATGTTGGTTATGTTATCTGCTTGTTCCGAATTGGATGAATTACAGCCGTTTCTGTTCCACGCTCGCAAATTTATTTTCCGAGTGCATTGTTATGGCAGTGTTACCTGATAATTGCCAGAATTCCCATCATATCTTAGTGACCACCCGCATACCGCCCACTGTACAGTTTAGTACCTAACTTTAAACTATCCTAACCTTGACTAAATGCTCATACCAGCGATGTCATGACGAACTTACCTGCTAGTTGCCAGTAGCGTAAGGGATTATTAGAACCCAATACGGACTACAGTCTTCTCAAATGCTTCACGAAAGATGCCTTCGGACTCTCCTGTGCACCTAACGTAAGATGTCCGTACTGTTTTTTGATTTTCGTGGTATTGACCAGTTTGATCGAAGCACGTAAACAGATTCCGTTCAGTACTATTTCAACATGTCCATAGCACCCTGAAGTCAAAATTGCTTAGTTCTCATAACCTATTGGAGGCGCATTTGAGTGACAAGGTATGTGGGGTAGGGAAAGCCAGCGTCGTTTGAAACAACCCCGTACTTCAAGTCATCCGAACGGCATAATAATAGTAAATAATTTATTATTATTATTATTATTATTATTATTATTATAATTATTATTATTATTATGCCGTTCGGATGACTTGGAAGTCCGGGGTTGTTTCAAATGACGCTGGCTTTCCCTATCCCACATACCTTGTCACTCAACTGCGCCGAACGGCATACATAAGTTTAAGTTCAAATGGGATCGGAACAGTAGGAGAATCCCGTGATTGTTCCATTTTGTAAACCGTCGTTAATCCCAGAGTGAAACCTGTAGGGCGATCTGCAAGGAGGAGCCAACTCAGCACACATGGTACGCTCTACCGTCAAGCACACAACGCACACGCGCCCTGCACTAGCAGTCCCAGCTGTGCCGCCCACGTAGTAAAAGTGGAAGAACAAAAACAAGGCAAACCGGAGCAGTGAATGTAACCATTTTGGAATGCAAATGGAAACTTAGAAAGGGGTAAGCTAAGGTGAGAAGGGGAAGCTTTTAAACTGTAGACCAAGGCTCTCAGGTCGATGTTCGAACTCGTTCACCGTTGGCGCCATCACTACTTCCGCGGGCAGCGCATTCCAAGTGTCTAACCCGGCGTGATAACCGAGAACCAGTTCCACCTTGGTCCGAATGGGGTTTGTGCAACTTCGATGGATGGCCACGAAGGGTCGGTACCCGAGTGGGATGGAACAGTCCAGATAAATCAGGACCGACCTGACTTGCTGCTATGCGATTTTTGGGACCAAGTCATCCCAAAGGCATCTGTAATACATGAAAAGCTTACCCAACTTGAGTAGCCTCTCAGGCCTAACAGCTACTTTAATTGAAACACCATCTTCGTCCCCGACCGTAAGACTCCTTCAATTGCCATCTTGTCCCGGACTAGGCGCGTACTCGCACGCACTGGATGTCGCCTCGGTCTAATCCATAACTCTACCTTTCACCAATCGGATATCGTCAGATCATCCATTTCTACTTGGACTCTTCGATTCTCGCTAAGATTGGCATGCCTCAACGTTCGCTCCTTGTTACAGCTTAGCGAAAGGACAGCACTTGCCTGAACACTAGGGACCCTATCGACTGATATTTACTACTTATCAGAAACCCACCTGCAAGATTCAAGCTTTGTGCTTACCCTGCTATCCCCCACATGAGACACTAGCGGCAATTCTTCCTAGCGCTTATCTGGAGATAAAACCGTTTCAAATGCCAGTCAAGCCGGTGCTGGCATTGCTTTGAGCTCCCGGATTGAAACTGCCCTGATAGACTGGATCCCGATGAACAGCCGGATATGCTAGCTCGTTCAAGACTTCCAAGTTGCACAGGGATTAATGGTGCCATTTTTGTTGCTGTCTACGCCCCCACAAACTGCAGCATTAACTCAGTAAAAGACGATTTCTATCACCAACTGAATGCGCTCTTACGTTACGCAAAAGGTAGACGGTGATTTTGGCTGGTTGTCTGAATGTTTAAGTGGGGAATCTGTCCACTGACGAGCAGCATCTTGGAGGCCAACACGGTATAGACTCCCGTAATAAATAAATAGTTTTATTTTCCACAGTGCGAGACACCCATGCACAGGCATGATCGTAGTGATACAACAAGGATTGGTAAATGTAATAGCGGCATAAGTTTATGAGTAACGTACATATCCATGTGTTAGTGGCGTATGAGTGCATGTAGGTAAGGACGAGTGTGGTTGTTACTTATGTCCCATGCTGAGGCTGATCTTGCATTCATGATGCTTCTCCACCGCAGTTGGGCTTAACCAACTTTTACTTTAACTAGATCATTTTAAGATGGATAAATTTCATTCCATTTTAATTGCTTTGTTCTGCCTACCTGAATAATCTTCTATTAACTTGCACACTTTGCTTACGCTAATTGCGCTTATTTTCGTTAACATTATTGCGTTCGTAGCATTTTTAAGCAACCTCTGGACATTTTGCACTTACCGCGCATTCGTTGCTAACCAACTTGCTTCATATGCTAACTTAACGAAGATTTATCCGCATTGCCGTATGCTTTAAGATTAGTGATTAGCTGTTGCTTGATATCCCCAGTGTGGCTGCGCTTGATGTGCCTGTTGACAAGGTGCCTACCTGTATATTACCCACTACGTCGTCCATACTGGTTGGTTCCAGGAGACAGTTGGTCGTTACTGGCGGGGATGGGTGCCCGGTCCTTGTGGTTGTGCTAGACTCGAAGAGTGGTTCTATGCACTCAGTGTGGAGCAGACTACGGTCCAACCACCGCCTTGTGTGCGCTTACTTTCCAAACGCAGCACGCTTGTGTTTGCCTGTGAAGGATTGTGGGCCGGCTCCGTTGGTAAAACCTGGCTCCCATCCGCATGCCTCCCGGTCTTATTCCTTCGGGTTTACACTGGATATGGGAGTGTGTGGTTTGAGCTGTGGGTGGTGCAGCGGAAGCCACCCATGGTCCCTCTGTAGGCGCAGGCGTCCTGTGGCCGACCACAGTGACAGGCAAATCCGGAACCGGATGCCGCCAACTATGCTTATGTTACTTATATTTGTGTATGTGACGCCGTATTTGTGACTGATTTCGGCCAGGTGTAAGGAGTGAAATGAAATCTTCATATTACATGACCGACGTCCGTGAATTGGGTTAGTTCCTTCGGATACGTAATAGGCAGTGACTTTAGTGGCGAGTCACATCTGCTACGTCACAGTGTTGGTTAACGAATATTTGTAGCTTTTATAGGTAGAAAGCTTACCAGGCAAAAAGCCCACCTTGTCCTGGAACACTGCCGCCGAACTACTTGCTGGAACGGGGCATACCCCAACCACCCAGCTGGCACCACGGCGAGGTTGTTTGGGTAGCCAGCCTGGGAGCAGTTGCTACACATGTGTGAAGATGCTCGTCTATTTCTTACGAGCACTAACTTCCGACACAGCACCCGCAAAAGTGTGACATTTCGCTCACCACCGTGGGACCAGTCCTTGACGCAAATCGATCACATCCCGGCCAGTTACCACTAGAGGAACTGTGTCCAGAACTGTCGCTCGATTTGTAGCATGAGCGTGGACTCCGATCACGCCTTCGTATGTGCTGATCTGCGGGTGCTATTAGGCGGACGGCCGCAACCACATTATGAGCGCTTAGATACGTGCCAACTGATGAAGTCAGATGTTCTGAATGCGTACCAAAGTACACTGACCTCCGGACTGATTAAGCGCTCATTGAGCACTGTTCATCACTGGTCGCAAATCCGCCAGACGTTATCAGCATCAGGTATGTCTTCATGTGGCACATTAGATTGCCAACGTGGACATTGGGTCTCTACAGTCTCTAAAACTCCTCGATGCTCGACAAAGCGTTCCTTTTGGAAGCGAACACAACACACCCAAAAAATCCCAGGGCAAAACTGCTTGCTAAACTGAAGCGAGACCGAGAAACATGGTGGTCTCACTTTGCGTCGGAGTTGGAAATGGCCCTTGCTGTCGGTCTTATCGTGCATAGGAAACGGAAACAGCCGCAGCCGTTGGTAATCATCGTAAGTCATTCCGTTTGATAAGGGAAACGGACAGTGGGAGATCTGGTGTTAGCGAGACATATGGAGTGGGGATGGCCAATCCACAACTTGCCAAAGCACTTAACGCGTTGTACGAAATACCTTGAAATACTGTTAAATCAACCTGAGTTATCAACTTCTTTTCGGGCATTGATTACTCTTGGCCGTGGGCCGTCCGTTTGGATCCGCTCTCACGCGCAAAAGTCGAACGTGTGATCAGACTTGAAATTGAATGTCGCAGGAGCAAATACACTTCCTCCAACCCTCCTCAAATTTGGTGGAGGCAGTTTTTTGTGACTGATTTGCAAAGCGCTTTTATAGCTGTGGTCATAGGAGACTCCCCACAGACTAGAGATGTTTCGTTATAGCCCCACTTTGCAAGCGGAACTTACTTTCGGAATGCGACAGTCTTAGATCAGTTTTATTACAATTCCCTCTAAATTACTTGTCTGTCATTCTTTGCAGATTGACTGGCACCCGTGAAAGCCATATTCGAGTGGAGCAAGTAGGGTTTCATCGAAATCGAGGCTGTGTTGACTACATCTTTACATTGCGTCAGTTGTTGGAATCTCACCGCTTATACTGGCGACCTACTAGTCGTGTTCTTGAGCATCAAAGGTG